ATTATAGTGATTTCAAATTTTTCATAGGTAATAGTATCACCTACAACTTTTATTCGAAGCATTTGTCGAAATTCCGTGAAAAAAAAATTTTCGATTTTTCCGAGATTTTTCCAAGGGGTACCCCTTCAGATTTTGCGAAATTTTCGTTTTTGGCCAATAACTCCTAAACCGTTGAATCTACGGGAAAATTGCATCAGATCTTTCTTGTAGAGGACGACGAGATCTACAATTTCCATGTAAAAATTTTTTGCTAGCATCAATAGTTTACGAGTTATTTGCAAAAAACTGTTTTTTCGTTTTTCGTCAATAACTCGTAAACTATTGACGACAGCGAAAAAGTTTTACATGGAAATTGTAGATCTCGTCGTCCTCTACAAGAAAGGTCTGATGCAATTTTTCCGTATGTCCAACGGTGTGGGAGTTATTGGCCAAAAATCGAAAATTTGGAAGAAATTGAAGGGGTACCCCTTGGAAAAATCTCGGAAAAATCGAAAATTTTTTTTTTGTTGTTTATGCAATGTTCTTCCGACGTCTGATTTCTTTTGAAAAAATGCGTCTCTAAAGTGCATAAACTTTTGGGATTGGCTGTATAGGCAATACATCCTTAAATTAATTTTTAGAATTATCTAATCGGGAGATCTTCATAGCGTTTCTTATGTTCGAAAGAAAAAATTGTACGACTTAATAATTTAAAAACTGTTACAATATGCATTCTGTGCATAAAATTAAGTAATGTGAAAACGCGTAATAGATGAACAAGTTCTGTGTAAAATGAATTTCCCAAAGATTCGAATGGCAGAAGGAGGTGAAGAAACCAGCGGGATTATGATTATCATCATGCGACCACCTCCAGGCCTTTGAAGGCTGAAGATTTCCCGTTTTTTCTTTTTTTATTCTCCACGTTCGGACTCGATTGCGAAATCACATTCGGGATATATACAATGGCATCGTATGGGAATGTTTCCCGCGAAGGTGTTCGGCCTCTTCTCTACTCTAAGTATAATACAATAAAAGCCGGCCACCGGCGAGGCTTGGCGCGCGCACGCGAAATCGCGATATTCCTGACATAAGCAATGACGTCCCGCGGTCTCACGGGCCGATTCATAGAGGAGGTCGAGGTCTACCGATGACTAGCCTCGGACCCGTTAGAATTTTTACGGCTTTTCACGTTTGCCGTAAAACGTTGTTGAATAAAGAGAATAAAAAATTAATCAACAATCGCGCATTGGAATGAAAAGGAATAGTGCACACATAATTTATGTCACAATATGCATAAAACCGTCGCATGCTTAGAACAGAAGAAACAACCGTGATGTATTTATGACTCGAACGTGTTTAGCATACTAAACGAAGGAATGAAATGTGCAATCTGGATTTCGGAATAGGAGAAGCATGGAAGTCTTTCAATTTTTGGTGAAAGCAACATGATAAGAAATCTATGGGTCCTGTTTATCTCATGCGGGTGTTTCGGCAATTAACGGTGAATCAATTACTCACCGCCTGCAGCTGTGTGTACTCGTTCACGTCCGTTTCGTAGGCCCATTGCGCTTGTACGTTAGCGCTACATCTTTCGGTGCCGAGGAAGTCCAATCTGGCTAGGATGTCCTGCAACTGCGTATCCGTTGGTGGGTATTGTCTACCGAGATTATTCTGCCCGTTGTCGTTTAGAGGTGGTAAATCCAGCTGGCAGGAGACCAGCGAAACCAAGCCAAAAAATATCCAGGGAAACATTGCCTAAAAATATTGTAAATGCGAGAATTAAAAATTAATGAGTTTTGCAGAACGTTGAACAATCTTTCATTGTACAATTCTGTCCGAAGAATATCTAATGTTTCAAATCGTCGAATGAATTAAGAATCGTCAAATACGGAGTTAATATAGATTTCATAAATCATGGGGCGTTACGAGCGAGGCGTTTATGCAGTGCAATTCATTTGTTCACTTCACGGTCACGTGTTACGTCTTCGCGGTTACGTATTTCCTTTCCAGCATGAAAGGCTATTCATGCAGAGTAGTAGGTCATCCGCGATCGCTCCGCCACGCCGAGATCCTGCCCGGCCTTGAACGTTCGATACTCGAGCGTGAATCGCGATTAATCTTGTGAGAAACTGGCTTATCCTTCGTATTCAATCCATTTTTTTCAATCCACATTCCTACTTTTATACAATGCAAAAAACCAGTTGGAAGTTTCCGCTTATACACAAATCTTTGATCATCCCTTAGGATCCGATCTCGAATCATCGCCCCCGGTACTTTTGCTCTTAAACACTCGTTTCATAGACTTAGCAAACTATTTCACAAAATCCTTTGAATTATTGTATCGTCCACTTCGCACACTTCAATCCTAATTTTCTTCACTCGATCTTCACTCCATTCTCTAAAGAGCGTAGCAACCCTGAAGGTGGCGCAACTGAAAGGGGGTGAGACTTACTTCCTTCGGCTAAAATGATGAAGAGATTTGAACGCTGGCACGGACGTTTGATCTCGGATCGATCGAGTTAAACGCAACGAGTGACGACGATGAGCGACGGTGTGTGTCGTTCTGGCGTCGCTAAAAGCCTCTTGGCCGACGCCAAGTGTACATTTATCCCTGCGAAGCAGTTCGAACACGGCCATAGGGAGGTCATCCGTAGCGAGAAGTGGGGATCCTGCACGTTGTGTCGTCGCGACGACGACGTCTCATGCGTGGGAGGATCACGTCGGGAGGAGGGAAAATTCGTAGATAGCCAGTTTAACCTTAAACCGTTTGTTAAACATCTTATCAGCTATTTTTAAAACCGAGTCAATCTTAGAAATTCAATTGTTTTATCAAACGGAAATTGATACTGATTTTGATTTATATTGAAGATCGAACGCAGAATTTTTAGACAATTCTTTTATTAATCATAATGCGGTGCATTTTATAAATTTTTTTATGTATTAGAAATTGATAGTGATTTATTTTGAAAATCGTACAGCACGTTTTGTAATTAAAAAGGTATAAGGGGAACGGGAGGGGACGTTAGAAGACGGGAACAGGTCAGAGAGATTGCGAAAGCCAGAAGCTCTCACGTTGACAAGCGACCCCCCTCAATGAGCCTCATTGTCTACAGGCATTGGGCACCTGTCTTCTTTGCATCTTGCAATCTTTTATCGTTCCTAGATTTCCTCTAACCATCGCGCTTTAAATCTACAAACAACGGTCTGACCGTCTCGGTAGATTTCCTTTGGGAGTTTTTCAAAGTTCTTGTTAATTTCTATGGAGTGGGCCAGGTGGCTCAATGCTAATCAATCAAGATGATAAAAGATGGAAGATGGATCGAGCCAGTGGATGATGGATAGCGAGAACGTGTTATTCCCAACGAGATTAAGGGATGCTTCGAAAGGGTTAAGAATTATTTCATGATATAAATTCAAAACATTGCAAGACCAAATCTAAATTCACTTGCGAAAACATTTGAATGCAAAAAGAATGCAGGAACATAGTAAAAATATGAATTTGCATAAATCCATGGCCTGGTAATTGGAACGAAATCTTATTACGTCTAAAAAAACTGAGGGAATTTGCATATGAAACAGCGAGCATGAAAAATCGACGGATTCTACGAAAAGAAAAAATGACTCGAATCACGGGGATGATTCATCTAACTGTGCAATTATCTTCGAGAGGCAATCTCATCGATGCCGCTTCCTGCTTCGCTCGACTGCTGCTACCTGTGCTTTGGTGAGAATTCTAAACGGCATTGTGTCACCGCGTGCCGCATCAGCCTTTTAATTGAAACCCGTGATTCATAATTTTGCAAGTTTTAATAACGTCCCCACCCCTGTGGGAAGAGTACAAATTACACGTTTCATTGTTCGATAGTCCGTAGATTAATCGCGATCTTCCTTTCGTTCACTTGAAACATATTTACAATCCTTAATAAAATTAATAAAAAATACAGTTCAGAATTAATAAAAAAAAAAAAATAAAGTAGATAGCTTCGTCATCGTGAAAACGTTGCGAGAGCTAATTGCAATTGGCAAGCATATTACTTAACATCTGTTATTAGCAACTCTGAGCCTGCCAGTTTATCATCGCCGAAGAGTGATAAGAGGCGAGCCGTGGGAAACAATGCAGGGAGAATCCGATTAGCATTCGCGAGCACTCGTTCAAGGTTCGCAGTCGCGAGTATGCACTCGTTTTCATCGATTGCGGGGAAGTGCGTGACGCACCCAACTTGACAGTGACTAAAGTCATTTTGATCGGCGAGCAACCCGTAAACAACCGCACCCTGCAAAGTCTCACGATGATCCAAACGCGTCTCTGAACGGTGGCCTTCAAGTTGCTATGGCGAATCGCTCCATGCTCGTGCATACGTATTATTTTATTATAACGAGCTATTTTTGCATAACACCCGTGCACGCATTGTTTTTTTACTCGCAGATTCTTTGTAATCCATACATGGGTACAGTCTTTGTTATTCACATCTGCGTCTGTGAAATAATTTAAAAATTCGACAATGAGAATGACCTCATAAACTTGAAAGGTCCCAACTCACGTCTTCATTTAGGAGAAATTTCGCTTGGAGACAATACTCTGTACTCTCCAAAGAATCCAAGATTGGGTTACGCGCACGTGGCTAATTGCCATCGGCACCGAAATTGAGTCAACGCGTAGGACGGTCGAATAACGCGAATTCAGGTTTCAATGCCACGCGTGTACTTACGTACATACGTTATACGTATAGTAACGCAATCATTTTACTTTAGAAGCCTGGTCTCGACTTCGACAATGCTCGTATCTGGAAATAATGGGTCCCACGTACCGTATTCTGGGTTCAAGTACGAGAGGCAGCCGTGCGTTTCTTTCGACTTCTTGTCACTACCCGATAGATCAAGACGACGCTGTGCTCGTTACGAATCGTTACATATCTTTCACTTCAGCTTCCCCTTTCTCGTTCTTTATGTAATCCGTTTATATTTCCTCTTGCATAAACGAACAATTAATAGCAGCTGTGAAATCGGTAATAAATTTTATTTACCTCTCATTAGAACGCAATGCTGTAACTACTAGACAGCTGATTTATATGGGAAATAAGAGCTATATGATATGAATTTAAAAAATGAAATGGTACACAATTTTCCATTAAATCTGCAGTCCAATGTTTTATTTGTTAATCGGAGATAAATGAAACAAAGTACGTTTATTTGTAACGCAAACGAAGGTGGTTCGAGCAGTTGAAAAATCGCTAGATTAATTGACGTCCCGACGTGTCTATTTTAAGTGACGGCGGCGGGACACGTGATTTGACGCGAGGATTAACGCTAATTGGCGCGATCAAGCCAGGATGCTCCTGTTTCGCGAACGTGAACGTAAAGTGCGATTTGATGCACCGAGATAAAATCCAAGTAAGAGCGACGACGGCGGCGGTTGCATAAACGTTCAGGAAAGTCAATCAGCAGGATATTTCTTGAGTAATCACGTAACCGACTGACAATGAGTCCTCGACAGAATTTACTCGTTCACAACAAAAGTCATTCCAGATATATACATAGAATTACGATTCTTCCAGTTCCTCCTACTAAATCTTTTTTAACAAAGCGATTCCTCGCATATTTTCCACGCAATAACGACTGCACGCAGCGATTAAGCAGAAAGCAACGACTGTCGGCGTCACAAAGCATGAGAAACATCACTGGAGTCGCACATGCACGTCGGAACAACGTTCAATATGCTTGCACAATGTTTAAAACATATAAACATCAATGGTAATGACGAGTCGACTTTGAATGATCTTTCATGCCGAACGAGAAACGCTAACCTTGTGATACTGCGCTGGAAAAAGAGCTTCTAGATGCTTTTGTAACACGAGACTGACGCCACAATTATACGACTTGGTCCTCATTAAGCGCTTAGAAAAAGACGCAGCATTCCGTGTTTATTCCTTAAATCTAAACGATTAAATTCCTGTACTATTATAATAGATTATAGATATAGATATAATATTGGGTTGGGGAATAAGTTCGTAGCGTTTTTACCGAAGACTTTTATTTAAACAAAAAACAATAATTATATCAATAAGTTAATCAATTATAGAATCGTTTTATGATCGCAGTTCATTTTTTCCGCCAATTCACGACTGGTTTGGCGACCGTTCTCCTTCAAAAGTGATTTGAGACGTTCTTCATCGAATTCAGAAGGCCTTCCGCTGCGGGACGTGTCATCGACGTTAAAGTCGCCATTTTTTAACTTTGCAAACCATTTCCGTGCTGTAGACTCGCCTATGACACCTTCTCCATACACGTCGCAAATGTCCCGGGCTGCTTCGGCAGCTTTTTGACCTCGATGAAAAGCAAAGAAGAGCAGGTGTCGAAAATGTTGATTTTTGCCTCCTGGGTATTCCATTTCTAAGCCTCAAAACTAATAAAAAATTAAATAACTCAAAAATACAATTAACATAGTTTTGTAGAGCAGAAAGAGTTCTATCGAATGAATACTTACCCGTTGCCAAACAGCAAACAAATCGTTGTAAAATAAAAGAAATTATAAAAACGCTATGAACTTATTCCCCAACCTAATAGATATAGATATTAGTAGATTATTATATTTCCGTTCTTACGATACAAATTGGGAATCAAGTGAAAAAATAAAATGATGCCAAGTATTCGAATGAAGTGACGAAACGAAATGAAAGCAATTTTTGTTAGAACGCCGGAAACGGAGGGCACGCGACACATCTTTCCAATTCTGCGTATCGCGCAACGCACAAGACTTTCCGACCTCGTACTTTAAGGAGATTTTCTCCGTCTTACGCAGTCGTTAACAAGATTGCGCATTGTCGTCCGTTTGTACTCACGATTCCCCCGAATCTCAACGATTAGGCAATGCACAATCTTGTTTTATACCGGCACTTTAAATATTGATGATATTCTATAGAATTCGCAAGAAGTTTCCATTAAATTAATGATAATTCGCAAGAAATTTCCATTTAATTTCCATTAACCTAATCAACCTGATAAGATCATTTCTATTTTAAACTCGTACGAATAAATTCGAATCATGAATCACGAACTCGTTAGATGTAATAAAATAAGATGAGTTGGGCAACATAATCTGACATGTTATCGATCAGATAGGCAGACGTTTAACGTAATTAGAATAATTATTGATCCTGGATAGGATCGGTTAGAGAGGAAGAAGAAGCATTACAATGAAATCCGTGAACGTGCGTATATCCTTCGACGTTACGTAAGCCCGTTGCCGCGGGGTGACTTTGATAAACTCGAGGCCGCATTTCGAATTGCTATTTTTTTCATCTTTTCCTGCAGCTGCTCTCCAAACGTTTCCAAGTGAACGGATATTCATTATGTTTTTTATATTGTTCTGTACAGTCGTTTCCTGCCCTACGTCTTCCTTCCTTCGAGACTGTCCTCATTCTACTTTTAACAGCCAGAATCGTAATAGCTTCTTAATTTATTCATAGCTTATTATACTTTTTAAATCTGTTCGGTATTCATTAACGACATGTACAATTTCGTAATGTAAAAGCATTGTTTG